CCCTCGATCGCATTTGGCAAAAAAAACACGAAAAAACAAAATAATTCGAAAAAAATCATGAATACAAAAAGTTCACGGACTTTGAAAAAAGTTCATCAATTAAATAAAGTTCACGGACTCCCAGATGCTGGAGGAGATCCGGGCGAGGCGGGCTGCCCGCATAGCAAGTGGCCCGCCTCCGGACTCACCTGAGCTGGAGCAGGAGGAGGATGAGGAAGGGGTGGGGGAGTAGCAGGCAGATCTGGAGGAGCCGACACCGGTTACGGGCTTCACCCTGGAGGACGCCATGACAGAGTTCGAGGTCGTCCAAGCGATGGACATGGCGGAGCAGCAGGCGAATCCAGAGAAGGAGCCGACGCGATTGTCGGCTTCGCCACGGGGGATGCCATGACGGAGTTTGAGGTCGTCCAAGCGGCAGAGGTATTGGAGTAGCATGCAATTCTAGAGTCGATTGGGATGAGCCCTATCTCGAGGCCAACCGGTGGTTCATCCATCAAGAACGGGCGGAGACCGATGCGCTTTTCATCGAACTGGAGGCGGCGGAGGCCGACATGGAGGAGCCGCAAGAGCCGGAGTTGCATGTGTTGTCGTGTACCCGGAGGGAGGCATGAAGATCGTGGACATCTCCGACAACGATGAATAGTATAGTTGATCTACGCACTAGGTTTTTTTGCATGCTTTGTACGGTTTTAAAGATTGAATCATGAGGTGTCCGGATGCAGAGAGGGAAATTTGAGGCTGCCCGGCCACTGCCCACGTATGCATCGGGCCTGGTCCACAGGTGCTTGAGGGGCCACATTTGCTGTCCGTGCCTCTAGATGCTCTCAGAGCATCTTCAATAGGTGCCATAGAATATGACATAACCGCTTATATATAGAGAGAGAAATTAAACTAGCTAAGCTAGCATGGCAGCACAAAATTCCCAGTGTTATGTGATGCCTCTCCACTGCTAGACATGTGTATTTGGTTTTCTTCCTGGTTCAGAGCTGGTGTTTTACCGGTTTTATTTTTGGTGCCCCGGTCTGGGAGTTCCACCGTCTATCCATCGCGTGGTAAGTTACATGGAGGGGCAGTTGTTTACTTTAGCTTGGTCGGTTACGAGCCTCCGGGAAGCCAAGCTCGTCGACAAAATGTTCATTGAGCCAATGCACATAAATCTGGGAATGGGTTTTGATTAACCGGGGCCAATGGTTTGGTTTTTTGCTCTGGGCTTAATTGGTTCGGGTTGTGATGGGCCCAGACTGTTATCAGTTTGGTTTGGTTTGGGTTTGCATAAAAACAAGTTGGGTATGGCTGGGTGTGGGTCTAAATGGTTTGGTCGCTAACCGTTGCAAATACTGATTTAGAACCGGTTCTAGAACTGGGTGTACGCACGCGATGCGACGTGGCCGGTCACCCACGTACGTACGCAATGCGACGCGTCTGGACATATACGTATTGGGCTGCTACTATGGATCAATTAAGCTACTAGCTAGCTTGCTTGTTTCTTGGTTAGCTTTGCACATACAACAGATTGATTTGGTTTCAACCCAAAACTAAGAACTAGGTTAAACCAATAGTTTGAAGAGTGGTTTGGTTTTGGTTGAGTTGGACAAAGCGTATGGTTTGGTTTGGTTTTGGTTCTGCACGATAATTGACGGTGTGGTTTAGTTCTGGTTCAAACTCCGCGTTGACTGGTTATAGTTTAGGTTTGGTTGAGTTGTATAACCATTGCCATGTTTAAATGCACAACCATCCCCCTGCTCTGCTGCCATCGCCGACCACCCCTGCTCTGTCATTGTCGTTGCTCCATGCCGTCCTCCCAGCGACCTGATGTACTGAATTCTAGGATTGTCCGGGTCCTCACCGACTTTCCCTTCACCACTCTGCGTCGCCGAAGTCATCTTGTCCCCACATGCCTTCGTCCCTACTCTGCCTTGCTCCTCCCTTCGGAGCCCAGTTAGCCGCGCCGCCCTGCCACATCCAGCCACAAGCAGCTCCAAATTCTCGGTAGTACCTTCCCCTGGTGCGTCCTTGTCCGTATCATGGCCGATGAGGTTCATATCGCGTCTCAAGTTCTGCCGTGTGAGGAGCAGCATGCCGCTAGCAGTGCTGGCATCCGATCACTGCTGGGTCTGGTATGTCACTCGAGTCGCCTGACAATATGTCCCATCGGTGAGGTAAAATCCCCTATTTCTTTCAGATTTGTTTTTTGACTGATATGTAGACAGTTGCTTCATGCTAAAATTGACCATTGATTTGACTTTTTCAAAAAATGGAAATGTTCACAAATTTGCAAAGCATCCATAAAATCTGGAAGAAAAGGTCCACAAATTTGATAAAAGTTCATCTATTTGATAAAAGTGACTTGTAAAAGTTTGCCAAAAATTCACTAATTTGAAAAAAAAAGTTCAGCAGAAGATAAAAAAAATCATGAAATTTAGGAAATTTTCACGAATTTGAGAAAAATTTCACATATTATAAATGAGAAGGTTCACAAAAAATTTGGGAAAATAAATTTGAGAAAAGTTTATGAAATTGGAAAATGTTCACAAATTGATAAACAAGAAAAAAGGAAAAAAGAAAGGAAAAACTAAAAATGTAAATTAAAAAACCTAAAAAGAAAAAGGAAAAAAATGAGAAAACCGGTGAAAAAACCCTACTCCCTGCTTCCATCTATATAGGGCCTAATGCGTTTTTCGAGGCTAACTTTGACCAAATACTAGAGCAATAATATATGACATGCAACCTATACAAAGCACACCGTTAAATTCGTATTTGAAAGGAGCTTTCAATGATATAATTTTCACATTGTGCATGTCATGTATTATTAATTTTGTCGATAGTCAAAGACGGTCTTAAAAAATGCATTAGCCCCTATATAGATGGAAAGAGGGAGTACATGGGATGACCTATTTAGATATTAGTGTTGTAGAGGGGGTGTGCACCGGTTAGCAAATGCACTCTAATCGGCATTAAGGCGCTTTCTACGCCAAGTAGTTGATCTGGTTCCTACTAGCGTAGGATGTGGGCTGCATCTAATAAGCCCAACTTCATTTCGCTACAGTATTCAAATCGTTCTACTCTTTTTTGCTCGTGCTACTATAACCTGTTTCAATCGTTCCAGTGATTCGTTTGTTCTACTGTTTCAAGAGAAGATAAATTGATTCATTCATATTACTGTTTCTATATATGTTATGAAGTGCTCTCTTAAAACTGGTTCCTAAAATGTTTCTTTAGAACTAGAAAACAATTAAAAAGAAGATTGAAACCAAGTATTTCCATTTTGAACTACTTGAAGCAAAATGGGATGACATAGTAAAGAAAAAAACTAAGAATTATCATTCAAGGAAAAAGAACAAATTTAAATTAATTTAGAGGAAAAAAAGGAAGATCTTTTTTGGTCTTGAAGAACTGAACTGTCAACGCCATATTCTTGTAGACTTGTAGGATATTTCTTACAAGATGATTAAAACTAGGCCGGTAGGGAGAACCTAGAAATTATTAATTCCGAACTGCACCTCTTAAAACAGGAAAGAAAAAATAGCTACAGATTGAACAGAACTTGAACATCACTTACTGTAGTGAAGAAACTGTCAATTCCATAGGCAAGCTTCTACCTTTATCCTGCAAAAAGAAGGATTTCAAAGAAAAGAAAAAATATAGTCAAATTCCGGATCCACATTTTTGAAAAGGAGAGATTTGTCATTGTAGAGAATAGGGGTCCCTATGAAAAAGGATAAAGAAAGAATACATGTTGGCTCTTTATTTAACTTTGGAAAAATGCCATACTCAAGCATTCAGAAAATAAGACTAACAAAAATGCCATACTCAACAATTCACGAAGTCAACAAAAAGTTCACGAGGTCAAAAAAAGTTCACAAGATTTAAAAAAATTCACGGTTTTGGAAAAAGTTCATAAACCCAAAAAGGTCCACGAATTAAAAAAATGTTCGCGGGATTTGAAAACAAAATAATGGGATTCAAAAAGTTCATGGAGTTGAAAAAAGTTCATGAACTCAAAAAAGTTCATGGGTTCGAAAAAAATCGTGGGGTTTAAAAAATTCGCAGATTAGAAAGAAGATCACATTTCAGTAAAAAAAAGTTCAATTTTTTTAAAAAATTACATAAAATTTGGAAAAATAAAAAATTGGAGGAAAGGTCATGAATTTGAATAACATTCACCTGGAAAAGATTGAAAAAGTGAAAAAAATGTCACCAATAGAAAAAAAGTTAACAACTAAGATTTAAAAAAGTTCACTAAATTTGGGAAAAGTCGATAGATTTGAGATGAAAAAGTTCACAAAAATTGGAAATGATTTCTAATTTGAAAAAAATAACACGCAATTGGGAAAGGTGCATGAATAAAAATGTAAAAAGAAAATCAAACGAAAAAGAAAGAAATTAAGAAAACGAAAAAAGTAAACAAAATGAGAAAACCATTGAAAAGAATGTACATGGGCCGCCCATCTAGATAATACTAATGCCTATTGACGGGGCGTGCATCGGTTAGCAAAATGCAACCTAACCGGTCTTTAAGGCGTCGAATAGCAGTTGGGATTGCCCACACACCGTCCGTGCGAACACAGCCATTCACAAACTCTGAAAAAGAAATTTTTTAAAAGAAAACACTCTTAAAACAAAATTCGAATCTCCCTCTACACGTCCCCTCGCACCAATCACCAATGTCTACAGCGCGCTCCCCCCATTTCCCTCCCCGCCCCGAATCCCGATCCCCTCCAAACATTTCGCGAAAATTTTCAAGATTCGCTTGGCCCTTGGAGCCTCCCGGCCAAAAATGGCAGGAAACACAGATCCGTCCGCTCCCTCCCACTCCTCTCCGGCCGAAAATTCCCCCCGAAACTCAAATCTTTTCATCCTCCTCCCTCTTCTTCCCTCCTACCTTCGTTACAAATACCCATGGAAGATCCTTCCAGTCCCATCCCAAGCTCCAACCGACTCACCTCGCCGCCCAGTACCTCGCCGAGCCCCAATCCCGAGAGCGTCAGCTCTTCTTCGAGATGGCACTTGACCGCGCCGACAAGGAGAATTTGCCGCCGGCGGCCGCCGTCGCCCGTCCTCATGGCGTGGCTGTCAGGAGCTGCAAGCTGAAGCGGCTCGGGAGGTCGCGGAGGCGGGTGCCGCTCAGGGACATCACCAACCTCTTCGCCGTGGAGTCAACGGTTGCCCAGTGGCAGCAGGCCCTGCTCCAGCGGCCGCAGCCGCACGAGGGGTCGGCGACGGCGGAGCCGGCCGTGAAGAACGGGCTGGCCGGTGCTGTGCTGAAGGCCGGCAGATACTCTCTCCGGAAGGAGTTTAGATAGCTACTACCGATTATATATGGATTATACTTTTCATTTCATTGTCCAATGATTCATTGGACTAGATTGGTTGGTTAGTCAGTTGGGTTTTTTCAGTTCCTTATTCCTGGTGATAGGAAATGAGCTGCTGAAGTTGAAAGAAAAGAAAGAGAAACCTCAAATTGAATTCGTATATCGATTAAAGGTGTAGCATACTGAATTGGAATCTGGAACTTTGCTGTAGCCTATTTTCAGAAATTATACTATTTGGAGCTGAGATCTGCTTCTCCAGTTCTCCAGGGGACTGTGTGGCACTCTGAATTATACAACAGCTTTCAAGCCACTCCCTTTGCAGGCATATAGCATCTGTGCCATTGCTAGGCGATCTCCTGATTGATCGTCAATCCAGACGGCCATGGAAAGATGTTGAAACTGCTTCGGTACAACAAGTACTGTGGCTGCGGTAGAGGGAGCAGGAGGGTGTGATTTGCATGGCATTCAGCACAATATACCAGTACTGTGTTTTTGCTCTTCAGTGAGGAACACGAAAAGAATAGATCTGATGCTGATTATGTGAGGCTTCAGGAGGAAGGAAAGACAGAACAGGCTGGGAGACTTTGGTTAGGGTGTACGACTGATTTTTTTTCTACTGTTCTATGGTCTCCCTTTCTATAGTTTGTTCTGCACATGTACTTTGCAATCATGATGATATTCTCCATCATTTGTCAATACACCATGTCAATATCATAACTAGCTAGAAGAAACGGCCTAACATGCTCCCATTTGATTCTTGTGTGCAAGCCCATATTATGAAATGATACAATCATGTTAGATTCAAGGAAGTTGCGGGTCCGATTCATATTACAGATTTCATATTATACTATCTGTCGTTCCTGAAGTACTAAAAAATAGAAAATGGTGCATTTTCCTCTAATTCATCATTCTATTTTTTTTTGTACCTCAGATTTATGGGGTTATCATATATTTCATAGAATGGTTTTCACCGTGGTTGCTGTTTTGTATCCTTGTTTAATATTGGACCATAGTTGCCTGATTAACTGTAGATCGCCTTACTTTGATCCAGCAACAAAGTAAGGAAGTTGCAGAGAAGCACGAACAGGAAAAAACATCTCGGCATTTTTCCTCAGGTAATTCCGTGATCTTATCATGTTAGCTTTCTTATATGATGCCAACCCCTTGTGTTGATAAGTATTCTGCTGCAGGTATCAAGGAAATTAATTTTCAGCAGAACTAGCTTTCTTCAATTATCAGATCGATATAAAGGATGAGTTGCTCCACATATTTGGAAGTTTAATGGTTAGTTCCTAGCGGAGTTTGTGACCGAATCGAAAACCGTTTTACCCGAGGTCACAGATATATTTTATGCTGCCACATGCTTAGAGGTTGTGATAAGAACCAGAATGTCAAGGTTTAAAAAATACATGATTTAAATATGATATCTCCAATGTTTCTGTGTTAATCCCTTTAAAATACCGCCATCATTTTCCTTTCAGTAGTTAGATATTTTTTACCGACAATATGCAATGTCATCTACTCCCTCTGTTCATTTTTATAAGACCTTGTACACATTTCAGACAGTTTGCAAAACAGGTCAATTTCAGTTGTCTGAAACGACTTATAAAAGTGAACGGAGGGAGTAGCTTTCTTCAACATGATTTAGAGTAGAGTAGTTTGCTTTCGAAACCATGAAACAATAAAAACTGACCTCGGTTCAGATGTTCTTTCTGTCACTATCCTATAGCTAGGTACACATGCATGTTGACATTTTCCAAAAAAAAAAAAGTATGCTGACTTTGTACTCTTTGAAAATTGGGAGGAGTTGAATATATACTAACATATACAGTGCCATCTGTGGTGGAAAAGGCAAAGCTTGCCTGATTGTACATCTGAGCATTATTGTACAGGAATGCAGCTTCTTTCAATTTCCTTGTTGGATGGCATTGAATTAGAGAATACAGCCACGAAGGTTACAACCTGAACTTAAATCATAATGCATAACAATGGTCTTCCCCCTAGAGTAAGTGTTATGGAATTGGAAGGTTTATTACTACAAGGCAAGATTCAGGCCTACTGAGTCAGTCCAATAATTATTTAATTTGGCACGCTCTAAAGATTTTATCTATGCACAGCATATGATTTTGATTAGCACATGCATCTTATGTAGTAGGAAATCTCTGCTCACATGAGAATTTAGCTCCTGCGTAGTAAATTTTTACAATCTTTACTCTGCTCCGAAGTTACCTGAGATAGCAAAAAGGACCATTCTGGATTGGGCGGCGGCGGCGTCCTGCGCGTCGTATCCTCCATGGAGGCGCCATCTTGGGAGGAGCTGTTCGGGAGAGAGATGTTGTGGATGGTGGGCTCCGAGTAGCTCCAGCAGTGGCGATGGTGCGGAGGTTGCTAGGTGGTGCGGCGTTGTATCTACCGCGTCATTGGCGACGAGTGTTGGCGGCATGGTGCAGCTGCATTTCGATGACGGATGTGGCTGGATGGACGAGCGCAGGGTGGTCAAGCTGTCTGGCGCCATGGTGGCGTCGACGGCAGGCCTGGCAAGGTCTGTGCGTCAGTGCCTGTTCTGGAGATGGATCGGTGGAAGAAGGCGGCGGCAGCCTCGGTGAGTGCGCCGGACCGGTGTGTGACCCAGTCCCGGTATGTGGCTAGGATGGGGCATCCGGCATTAGATGTTAGGATTTGGTGCGATGTCTGTTTGGTATTAGGCTCGGACATTCGGCCACTGCATCAAGGGGATAGGAGTAGCGACAGATGTTGCCTAGATGGTGGCTTCAGGCTCACTGATGTACTACTTTGTAAGGTCTTTTGTGCTTACTAATTAATAAAGTGGCCGTATGCATCGTCGAGATGCAGAGGCCGGGGGTGCATCCTCCTTTTCTAAAAAAAATAAAAAAAAAGCAAAAAGGACCATTAGTTCAAAATCTCACCTACATTATTACTTTTTTTAACCACAAGAATCTGATGCATTCTGATTTAAGTATGATGTACCCACCATATTCTTGGGATCGTTAACTTCAGTTTTATTTTTGTGCACGTTTTGTTTCAGACAATTGCTCAAGGACTCGTGATAAAAACTCAAAGTTTCTCCACACGTCGCCGTGTTTAGTACAGGCACCCGGTGGTTATGGTGAGGTCTGGTTCGTCTTAGACGTCGTGGAGGTTGCCCATGTCCGGGCAGTACGTCGCTCACATCGCCTAGCAAGCTGCTCCCACCAGTGAGGCAGAGCCTCCCTTTTACTCCGTTCAAATTGTTCTCTGATTGATATGTTTAGAGTTGATTGGAATGATCAGGCTTAGGTGCAGATACTTGCTTCAGGCTTCGATCTAGACATATTTTCCTAGGGATGGATGCATGGATGCATAGTTCGTGATTGTTAAATTTGGTTAAACTTTGGGGTTTTTATTTTTATTTCTTTTCATATAAACTTCCAAGGTTTTACTGTGCGGTTTCAATGATATTTTTTTTGATTCAGGACAAGTTTGATCAATCCAATGATTTGTTGTTTCTCACTGACACTATGAAAGATTGATCTCATGTTTTTTATTTTGCAGCATAGGGAAGTTCTTTTTGCAGGACAGAAAATTGTGGTGGATAAAGAGGCGAGAACCAACAAGTAATTGATCTCTTTTCCTAATGGTCGAACAACTGCAGCTTCAGTTTAAGCAATAAGAGCCATATTCAGGTTAGAGATATAATTAAACATTAATGCCATTCGTGATATAACCTGTTTTCAGCCCGGGGTTCTTAAGTTTTGTTTTCTGGATTTGACAGAAATTCAATCATTTTTGAGGAATTCTGACGAAAAAATTGAACGCATTTTGCTTTTGGCTCGATTTGACATGTCACTACCTTTTTACTAATTGTAAATATATCTTTACTCACAGAAATCACTATAAATTATGGATTCTTTTGAAAAAGTTTCTGGGGAAAAGAGCACTCTGGTTCAGTCCAGTTTTCTGGATTAGTCATCTTTACTGCCTGATGCTTTGGGGGCTGCTATAGCAGAGATGCTACTTCTTTGGTGCGCCAGATCGAACGATAGTTCTTTACGAGTTTTCCTCCAGTGTAAAGCGGATTTCCTTTCAGCCGCTTCTTAAGTTAGCTACACCCCGCTGTACCCCTTTCGCTTTTTCTGATGCAGCTAGCTAGCTAGCATCCTTTGTACCCTGACAATTCTCAGACCTTGGTCTGGTTTTGGGATATATAAGGTAGACTGCGGCAGTTCAGTATCCATTAACATATTGTAATGTTCAGGGTTCAGTGTACGAGCATAACTACTTGAGCTAAATACCAGTTTAGCACTAGGATCTCCGATTGGTACCGCGCATGGTAACAATATACAGAATTAGAGTATATATGCGCTTACTGTAGAAACTTAACTTTTTTGTAATGGGCAGCAATCTAGATTTAGTTGGTTCAGCGGTGAGGAGAGAGTATGATTGATCCGAGTGTTAAACTGGTAGGCAGCGACCAACCGGTGGAGATGGAGAGGAACATGAAACAGATTTGGGGAGGAAGAGAGAAGGCAGGAGAGATATCAAGTAATACTGTTTAACAATCTGCAGCTTAGTCATCTTACAAATACCAATCATATCCCCTTTCTCACTCTATAGCAAATAGATCAGGACTTGGGCTTTGTTATTTTCTCCTGCCATTCTCAAAGTTCATCACTTGATCGTTTATTGCTTAAATAGCGTACTCACGTACTGTCCGATTGACGCATCAGTGTAGGAACCAGGTTTAGTTATAAATAAAAATCAAAATTTGTAAATTAACAAATTCAAAGATGTTCTGTTGCTGGACACGAAGGTACTTCCATATTTTCGTCATGAATACTTGAATAGTTCATCTAATTCGAGCGGTCACTAATGTAATTTACGAAAATAACCAAGTCAAATGAAAACTCTTATAAGAAGCAAAAGACACCAGCTATTGTCAGGAATTCTTCTGTTACCTTTTTGCATACAATCACCAAATTCTTGTCAAGATC